GTGAATATGTGTTAAACTGTAATTTATTTCTGTGATCAAAGCTGTATTTTCAGCCTTCAGTGTCACGTGATCTTCAGAAATCATTCTAATATGCTGCTTTGCTGCTCAAGAAACATTTCTGATTATTATTATTAATAATAATATTTAAAAAAAAAAAATTTCAGGATTCTTTGATGAATAGAAAGATCAGCATGTATCTGAAATAAAAAGCTTTTGTAACATTATACACTCTACCATTGAAAAAGCTGGGAGTCAGTATAATTAAAAATTAATTAAATAATTAATTGAATTAATACTTTTATTTAGTAAGGACGCTTTAAATTGATCAAAAGTCATGATAAAGACATTTAGAATGTTACAAAAGATTTCTATGTCAGATAAATGAACTTTCTATTCATCAAAGAAACCTGAAAAAATTCTACTCAACATAATAAAAATAATTTGAGCAGCAGATCAGCATATTAGAATGATTTCTGAAGATCATGTGACACTGAAGACTGGAGTAATGATGCTGAAAATACAGCTGCGCGTCACAGAAATAAATTACAGTTTAACAGATATTCACATAGAAAACAGCTGTATTAAATTATAATAATATTTCACAATTTGTACTGTATTTTTTGTATTTTTAATCAAATAAATGCAGGCTTGGTGAGCAGAAGAGACTTCTTTAAAACACATCAAAAATCTTACTGTTCAGAAACTTTTGACTGGTAGTGTATTTCCTGCTGAAATATTTCTAGAAAGCATTTTATTGGTCAAATATCTACACGTATAATCAATATTTTGGGTTGGAAGAGAAAAACTGTACATTTTACATGAGTATAAGTGAATAACTGAAATAAACTATAACTGAGAGAACATAAAACATAATATTTGATTTGATTTCAGCTAGTTGCCAAAGCAACATTTCTCATCTTCATTTAGTTTATCTTGAAGCACTAAACTAACTAAAACTGAAAAAAAGCTATAGAGGCATATTTAAATAATAATAATTAAAAATAATAATAATAATAATAATGACAGAAACACACAATACAATTATTAATATTTTAACTAAAATAATAAAAATAGAATTTAAAATCTAAAAAAAATTAAAATAAAAAATAATAATCAAAATAATAGGATCAATTGAGCACAATTTTGTGCTAGTCGTCTCAATGGCAAAAACGGTGCCAATTTACCTGAATTCAATAGTTTCTCAACGATACTGAAATAAGACTGATCTGAGCATAAAAGCTCATCTTGTCAACTTTTAGAGTCCCACTAGAATCCAGATGAGCTTCAAATGAACAGAAATGAACTAAAAGCCACACAACTCTCATTTTATACCCATTTGTTTCTCACCGGATCTCCGTTTGAGATGCTTGTGGAAGGTGTTGCTAAAGCTGACGTCTCTTGAGCGGCTCGGTTTGGCAAAGCAACATGGGACAGTAGATCGTAACTGCTCTTCTGATTGGACCGGACTTCATTCTGAGGGGCAAACAGAGGATCGAACGTCTCGATGTGGGACGAGGATGTCTTGTAAATATGGTCAGATGTCGGGTTGGTATTAGAAACGAGCGGCGAGGTGGACAGTGAAGGAGTCTCGAGGAAACCGGACGCTTCTTGGAAAACGCTGGTGGTTTCAGATGGTGGTGGAGAAGCTCGGAAATTCTTCTGTCTGGAGAGGATGAATTCCAGGAGAGGATCACTCTGATTGGACGAAGGCCAGGATTCTGCGTTCTGATTGGCTGAGCTGCTGTGTGTCACACCAGTGCCTGCTTTCTCTTTAAAAGGCTGGAAAATGTCTGTTTCTTCACTCCGTGTGCCTGCCGCTGACGTGCTCTGGAAGCCACTCGCAGTGTCGTCTTTATAAAAATCAGGTGGAGGAAACAAAACCCAGTCCGGAGCTGGAAAAGGATCGTCTGAGAACTCGGGCGTCTGATGAATGCCGTTGCTTTTGGTTAAACTCGTCATGTTTGGCAACACATTGTTCTCCGTTTTCACATCATAGTCCTGCAAATACAAGCAGATTCAACAGAACAGGTGAGGGTTTCAATGCTATAGATCTGAAATAAAACAGCTGTTTTCTATGTGAATCTCTATTAAACTGTAATTTATTTCTGTGATGCAGCGCTGAATTTTCAGCATCATTACTCGCATGATCTTCAGAAATCTTTCTAATATGCTGATTTGATGCTCAAGAAACATTTCTGATTATTATCACTGTTGAAAACAGTTGTGCTGCACAATATTTCTGTGGAAACTGTGACATATTTTATTTTTCAGAATTCACAAATGAATAGAAAGTTCAAAAGAGCAGCATTTATTTGAAATAGAAATCTTCTGTAACATTATAAATGTCTTTCCTGTCACTTTTGATCAACTGAATTCATTTTTTATTAATACAAGTATTCATTTCTTTAAAAATCTTCCTGAGAGTAAAGTTTCTTTGGACATTAATACCTGTGGGTTTGAACAGAACGGATTCCAGGAGCTGCTGCGGATCCCGTTCTAGTGGAGAGCAAGTCAAAGTGAACGAGTTTAGACTGGATCAGAAGAGCAAACACACACACATAGGTTCCTCTTTGGACATTTTAGTGATTATTTGTATATTCTTTCTTTCTTTCTTGCATCTACAACCCTCCAGTGCTATGTTCTGTAATGATCCGCAGCTAAATAAGGGAAGGGGTGTGTAAAATGAACAGTCTGGACTTTGATATGCAATAAGAGTGAAGTTAATTCTTATTAAATTAATGATCCAGAACAAGTTAATCAGAGTCTCACCTCCATAATCAGACCCGAGACACCAAACAGCGAATCGCCATCCTGTGAAAAACACAGCAAGGATGGAATAAGGTTCAATTATGTCCAGAACATTAACGAAACAGATAGATTTGATTGCACTTTATTCAGATTTCAATTGCGATACATATCTATTAAAGGCCGTTTCTTTCTCCACTTGAGCAGCACTTACATAAACCAAACTTAACTAGTTTTAATTATTTTTATAGAAGGGTTTGTTCATATATCATTAGGCCTGATTATAGATATAAAACATTGTATTCCTAAAAACATGATTACAATGTATTTGCTTTTCTGTCAGTTGACAGTATATATGCAGTGATAACAAGAGAGAAAAAAATATATGTCAACAAAATCAAAGTAGAATTCAGAACCTGTTTATTGGCATATTTAAACATAACATTTCAGATAACGTGTAATAATGATAATAATAGCAATTTTAATGCGGTCAACGAACTGGGGATGTAATATCTATAGTTAAGCTCTTTTACTCTACTCATCTGCTAGGGTTAGGGTGGTGTCTTGCCTTTAAATGGTGCTCCTCACTTGATCATCGAGAGTTGCAACATCAGGCGTATTTCAGCAATGCAAGCATGACGACGCATAGAAAGTCAAAACACGTGACGTCAGCGATGACATACACAAGCCTACACATGTGCACGCAGTGTTGGGAAGGTTACTTTGGAAATGTAATAGGTTACAGATTACAAGTTACCCTACTTAACCCTTTAAAGTCAGAAATCTGCAGCTGGATCATTAACAATGGGTACTGATACATCATTGAGTTTGAACTTTTTAACAAAACCTGCCTTGAATTGTCCCTCACTCAGAAAGCAGTCTGGAGTAAAATGATTTGCGCAGCCAGACATAAACAAATTTAGTGAAAGTGAATTGAATTGATGTGGCTAAATATGGTGTCCCATACTCAGAATTTGTGCTCTGCATTTAACCCATCCAAGTGCACACACACAGCAGTGAACACACACACACCGTAAACACACACCAACAAAGTTGGGGGTTTGGTGCCTTGCTCAAGGGTCTCACCTCCATCGTGGTATTGAAGGTGGAAGAGAGTGCTGGTATTCACTCCAAAATCAAAATGGCTTTATAATTGAGACTGTTTAGGTTTTTGGGGGATTATTGTAAGGTGGTTGTGTCCACACACTGCTAAGAAACATTTATACGCAAATTAAGATATTTTGCATCAATTACACATTTTTTCTTAGTAACTGTAACTGATTACAATTACTTTTATTTTGTAATTAAATTACGTAATTCCGTTACATGTAACTAGTTACTCCCCAACACTGTGTGCACGAGATGTATTTTTTTATTTTAATAGACAAAGATTAACACCAAATGTGGCCTTTATTGTTAATCTTTGTTTGATTATGGGGAAATACCATATACATAAACAGAAATGGGCTAAAGGAAAACCCAACTTTTTGTTATTTCAGATAGACATGACAAATTATATTGAGTTACTACTTGGGTGGAAAAACAGTAAAGCAAAACGCACTAGGTCTCTTTGTGAAGCTTTTATGTTATTTATATGATGATCTCATACCTGTTCTTTTTTCTGTTTAGTTTTTTTTTTATTATTATTATTATTTTTTACCTGTATTATTATTATTTATATAATACTGTATATTTTCTATTTCTTTTTTGTAGTTTATATTTGTCTCAGTACCTTTATATTATATGTTGGAAATCAATAAATAATAATAAAAAATAAAAAAAACGTGCACGAGACGCCACAGATGATGTGTAGCAGGGGCGTAGATTACGCGGGGGACGTGTCCCCAAGAGACTTCTTTATAAAACATTAAAAAACTTACTGTTCAAAAACTGTTGACTGGTAGGTTATATAGATTACAGAAATGTTTTATATATATATATATTTATATATATTTTTTTATTTTTTTTATATATATAACATTTCTGTCCCCCTCACTTCTGAAATGATGGCTACGCCCCTGATGTGTAGCTAGATTTAGCCTTAATAAAGTCTGAGAATTATTTAAATGACATTCGAGCACGCGAAAACAATGAGATTCGGTCAGATGCGATAAACAGCATCAGCCCTCACACACGGTACTCACACCTGACCGTCTTCAGCATCTGCAACAGTATTAGTCAACGAAGTATTCTTTAGAAGCTCAACCTCCGCTGTGTTTAGTAGAAATATTGAAGGTGTAATTAAAAGAAACGCGCGCGGTTGTGTTTTGTTCAGCAGTAATGTGCGGCTCGCTATTTAATGAATTCTTGCCTGTTTGAAGCATGTTACATTAAACAAACTTACCATTTCGGCAGAGAGGCTTACAGGAAACGTGCGGACGAAATAAACCACGGACCAAACTTGCTATTAGAACTAAATAAATAGCTAAATGTGCGCAGAGACTCGTCTGCAGTCGCGCAGCAGGTACTTGTTAGTCTCGATCGCGCCTCTTTCAACATTCACTCGAGCGAAACTATGTGAACCTACCTGTCCTGTCGAGCTCAGGTAGGTCACGTGTCATCCTGACAGACTCAATTAACCCCGAACCCGACATTAAAACACTGCATGAAGCTATTCGACTAATGCAACAGCTTGCGTGTTAAAGGAGACCTGTTCAAAACCAGTGCAAGCTTTTTCAGGCACCTTGCCTGATGATGTTCACTCATCACACAAATTCAATATAATCTTCTCTTTACTATATCTGAATATTCACTCTGATTAGGAGATCTCAGCTTGACAGTCGCAATTTGGGAATAAACACATTTTTACCAACTCGGAACCTTTGCTACATTGACATTTCTATATTCAGAATCATCAGAAAGTTATCTAATGTCATCTGATCTCAGCATTAATTCACTTGCCTCCCAACTCATTGGCTTTAAATATTCAATAGTGAAGAATCTCGTGCAGTGCGGTTTATTTGCTTGCTCCTAATGTAGTTTTTGTTTGTTTGTTTTTAAGCAACATAATTTAGCCACTTTCTCTGCCTAACCATAAGAGGGGAGTAAACAAGCACTTTCTACTGTCTAAACAACTGTCTAAACAACTGTGATGGTTATCATGGCCCTTTGAGCTGGCAGATAAGTTAATGTTGTCCTGCAAGATTCTAACAGTGCTTAAATAATAAAGATTTAGAACTAAAAAAAAAAAAAAAAAAAAAAAAAAAAAAAAAAAAAAAAAAAAAAAAAAAAAAAAAAAAAAAAAAAAAAAAAAAAAAAAAAAAAAAAAAAAAAAAAAAAAAAAAAAAAAAAAAAAAAAAAAAAAAAAAAAAAAAAAAAAAAAAAAAAAAAAAAATATATATATATATAAAGAATAGACGAACTTAAAATAAATAAATAAATAAATAAATACATGCAACTTTTTGGATTTAACCTGATGGGAAAAGTGCAGTCAATTAGTTGTGGATTTGCAGATATTTTAATATTGAGAACAGCATTATTTATAATATTGAACCAAAGTCATAAAGGACATCATGCAGTTTTATTTTATTTTTTAATTTTTTTTTTACTGAATCAAGTATTTCATAAAGTGTATGTTTATCAAGTTTCCCCTGTATATGACATGATTGATCAAGAGGGGGAAATAAATGAAGAAATTGATCTCAATATAAGTGAAAAGGTCTTTGATATACATGAACCTACACTATACAGGCTTATTGTGCTATTAATATTATTCTAGATATTATCATTATTCTAAATTGTAAAAAACAACAAAAAAGTACAATTATAACGACAGAATAAAATAAATGTGAAATAATAAGAAAGTAAAACGTTAATAAGTAATTTCATAATAATCACCTGAACTTGTTCAATGTCTTTCTGGACAAAATGACTGCAACAGTAATTAATAACTCACCTACTTTCAGATTCTATTTTCTGTCTAAGTGAAGCAATACAAATACGATGTATTCATAGTAAGATGAGCGGTGAGCTAATGGGGGAATTACTGGGGAGTGCAGTGCTATTGTAAATGCAAATTGTTAAAATTAGAACATTTTACATGAGTGCAATCAGTATATTTCACATATTTCATACTTGCATTTTTAAATGAGATCTTAAATTTAAAATGACCAACCATTTGGGTTTTTTATCGTATAGTATAAAATGACTTGAAATGCCCATTCTTAAAAATAACTATAAAGACTCTTTAAGCTAATAAAATCATCAGCAACCATAAACAGACAGTAGAGAATCATTGTCCACAATGAGTTTTGTGTGTTTGGTTCCTGCCGCTGGAAGATCTGCCCATCAGGCTGCACTCTCCACGTTACGCTGGATCCAGCGTCCATCTGCTGATCTGAGAGGATCTGATTCATCTGGAGAGCAGATTTCATCTGTGATTAGTGAGCAAGATCAATCTGTCGTCGCTCAGATACATGCAGTATATAAATAACACCTCACCTTCTTCTCTATGGCCTCCATCACCGCAGATTCATTCACATATCCAGCTAAACTCACTGCAAACCTCACCAGCTGTACTTTCGCTCTTTTAGCTTACAGAAACATCAATAAACAAACACAGTTAGGAGAACAACATTTGCTGTCATACTAACTTACACTGCAAAAAATGAAATGTGAATTTACAGTATATTCCTGACTGTGAATTGTCATACATTTTAACAGTAATTTATTGTTATGACAAAAAATGAATTTAAAATGATGAATTAGTAAAAATATGAATACAGTATTTTACTGAAAGAAAACTGTGTTTTAAAATGCTGCCTATATTTATGGATATTTTAATACTGTGTGTGTGTGTATATATATATATATATATATGTGTAT